CTCCCCCTTGAAGGGGAACATGTCCTCGTACTCGATGAGGATGCCGTTGGCTCCCAGCTGGGACAGGAGGGGGAACACCTGCGGGGTGGGCAGGGTGGGCTCAGCTGGTGGGGACGGACAGACGGAAACGTCGAGCCTTGGCACCTCCCGCCGGTCCCTGGGCATCCTCACCTGCTCCAGGTAGGAGACCCTGGGTGCGGCTCCTTTGAGGTCCAGGTGGACCAGCCTCATCTCGGTGGCACTGACATCCCTGGGGACCTGCTGCCCAGGCTCTTGCCTGGGGGCCGTTATCTTTGCCGCAGGGAGCTCCAGAGCCTGGCTCTGGGGACCGGTGTCCTGGCCAGTGTCACCTGCGTCCCCCCAGAACTCGCTGTCCTTGCTGACGTGCTTGTGCAGCTCCAGGGTAAAGCTGCAGGGAGCGGAGCGGGGCTGGGGGTGCCGTGGGGCATGGGGGCACCAGCTGCCCCCCAGCACCAAGCCCTCGCATGGGCATGACCCAGGGTCTCCCCGCAGACCCCTCCCGGGACCCTGAGCCCGCTGGGCCCCGCGCCGGGGGTCCGGCTGCCTCTTACCTGTCGCGGAAGAGGAACTTGATGCCAGCCAAGGCCACGAGCAGCAGCACGACGAGGCGCAGCAGGTTCAGCCTGTGGCTCCGCTGGAAGGCCATCCCTGCGGGGCACACACAGCGGGCTGGCTGGGCGGCAGCACCCCCAGGGACCCCGGGCACCGCTGACCCCACGCACCGTGCCCTGCTCCCCTGACCAGGGCGGCACGAGACGCAGAGAAAGGGGATGTGGGGGGAGACCCCCTCCCACCACCCTGGTCCCCATCGGGGACACGCACAGAGGTCCCCCACGTCCCCCTCCTACCTCGTGTGCCCCAGCACAGGGGCCAGTGGCCGGATCTGCCTTTGCCTCTGCCTGTGAGGGCACAGCCTCCTCGGGCTCTGGCGGTGGCTGCGGGGCAGGTCCCCGCCGGGGGATCCCCTCGAGCCGCTGTGTCACCTCCAAGACCAGGGCTGTGTCACAGGGTGACTGGGCGGGGTGGCATCACGGGGCGGGCACGGTGCAGCCAGGGCTGGCAGGCAACACCACTGCAGAGGGAGGGGAGGCGATTGGGGACCACCGGGGCACACGCTGGCACGGGGTTTGCTCCGGGGATGGGCACCAGCACGGCCACAAGCACCCCTGGGGCCAGGGCAGCAGCCTGGGCCCCCCAGGACCTGCAGGGATGCCTGGGGAGGTGAGTCCCACGGAGGGGAAGGGGCACGAGCTGCTTCACTCACTGAAAAACAACCTCAGAGCAGGGCAGGAGCCCGCTAGGGATCTGAGCCTGGCAAGAGGAGCTGCCGCGGTGCCCACAGAGGGGGAGAGGGGTGAGGGTGGGCTTGCCCACCCCTGGGGGCTGCGAGGTGCTGCACTGCGCACGGGGTGGGGGGGCTGCTCTGGTTAAACCAGTGTTGGATCCCTCAAGCTCGTGTCCAGGAATTGTCACGACTGGGATTAACAAAATGGAAGTTTTTTTTTTTTTTCCCTAAACCATTGAGAACTCCTGAGATAGTGACCTACCGATTTTGATGAAAGCCAGCCCTACCCAAAGGCAGGCTCTGGAGGGCAGGAGGCGGCAGATGCCCCTTCCCTGGCTCCCCCCACTGCCACAACTTGAGGGACTGCACAGAGATTTGTACCTGCTGGCGCTTCCTCCCCTCTCCGGGGGGCGCAACAAGCCCCAACACCCAGACCTGCCATAGCGTCCCATGGAGTCAGCACTGCAGCTGCAGGGGCAGACGCTCAGCCAGGCCAGACCCCATTGAGCGCAGCACTGGGGACACTGGGGTGACGGGGGGAACTGCTGTGACTGGGGGAACTGCTCCCCTGAGCCCTGGCATGCCTCCTTGGGAAAGCACTGGGGGGGGACAACACCAAGTGTACCCCACTTACCCCTCTCCTGCAGCCCCTCCTGGCCTGCAGCACTGCTCCCAGGTGACAAGGGACCCACAGTGACACCCACTCCCACCCCAGGAGCCCAGAGCCACCCTGCTGTGGGCAACACATCTCCCACGGCTCCCGCAGCACAGCAGACGGGAGGCAGCACGAATCCTCCTGGAAGCTGCACACGAGAAGCGCTAGCATCATTTCTGCCCTTTTTTCCTTCCTTTTTTTGCCAACTCTGGCGTGTGCGGCGAGGCAGGGACGGGGCAGAGCATCAACACCCCCAGCCCGGCAGCCGCTGCGGGCACCAGGGCAGCTGCCACCGGCCCTTTCGGTGAGCTGTCGCCCAAACACGCCGAAATTCAGGGTTAAATTCAGCGTTGCCGGATTTGGGAACTGAAAAGCAGATTTTGGCGGCTGCAGGTGCACAAGCGGCTCAGCTGATCGCGAGGGTTTTTGTTTGTGTTGCCAGAGCAGTGGCACCAGGGGAGAGCCGCGCTGAGCCGCCCCGTGCCTCCGGCTCTGAATTAGCTCTTTTTCCCGACGCAGCCCTAATCCCTCCTGACACGCTGCTCCCGCACGCTGCCACGAGGCACGGGGCAGCCGGGACCCCTGGCACGTCCTGCAGAGCCAGGGCGGGATGTGCTGTCCCCAGAGCACGAGGCCACGTCGCGGGGCAGGGCAGCACCGTGCGGGACCTGGAGCATCCTTGCTGCATCCCCATCGCCCGGCACCCACGGGTCACCCCGTGCTGGCGCACAGGAGGCAAGGCAGGAACCTGTTTTTGGGGCAGGTCATGCCCGGGCTGTCCCCTGCGCTCACACCCCTGCACCGACAAGATGCCTCGTGCTCAGCGCTGCACCTCCTGTGTTGTGGGGGGACAAATGCAGCACCCCATTCCCTGACCTACCCGTCCCCGCTGCGTTTCCATCCTGCCCGGCGCTGGATGCTCCCAGCAGCTCCAGTACAGCCCAGCAGGGATGTGCCAGGCTGGGGACAGCTGCCAGGCCAGGGGTCACCTCTGCTGGGTGCACAGGAAGAGAGGGGGGCTCACAGCCCCCCCCCGGGCATGGGGCAGGCGGGCACGGGGAGCCCAGCACCCAGGAAGGCCATAAATATGCAAAGTGCTAATCACGCTGTCATGGGAACACAGCGCCTGATCGGAAGAGGGATAAATATTTAGACAGACGCTGTCAGCTCGCCAAGATTTGGCGTTTTTAATATATGTTATCTTGTTTAAATAGAGAACAGGCTTCCAGGGTTTGAGCCTCCCTGGTGCAGCCCAGGCAGGAGGGGTGCATGCCGGTAGCGGGGTGCAGCGCCAAGGGGTGATGGGGGGCAGCCCCGACTCTGTGCCCCTGTGCCGGAGAGAGACTCCCATCGCAGGGAGGGCTCAGCTGACTGATGCCGCCCCTCTGACCCAGCATCTCGCCTCTAGCGCCCGCTGCATTTATTAACGTGCCATCTTCCCCCGCCAACCCTTTGGGGCCGGCGCTGGCACGCTCCCCAGGAGGCTCAGGAGAGCCCGTGGCTCCTTGCAGCCGGCCAGGAGGCTCGACGCTCCTGGCAGCCGTGGGGCGAGGAGGGGGCCAGACCCGGTCCCCCCTCCCTGCCTCCACGCACCCCACGTGGGTTTTGCCCCAGCTCCCCGAACCCAGCCCAGCTCCCCACTTACCTTCCCGAGCCCAGAGGAGAGGAAAACGGCAGCAAACCAAAACCTGAGCCTGGAGAGAGCGGGGCCGTGGGGAGGACAGACCCCCCCCCTGGGGTGGTGGCGAGGGTTTCGGGTGCCACCGGGTTGCCCCCCACCCCGCTCCGGCGTTCCCCAGCCGTTGCCGTGCCAAACCCTCGCTCGCGTCGGGGCGGCCGTGGGAAGAGCGGCGGCCGGGCACGCTCACGCGCTTCTGGAGCCTTCCTCGTCCCTCGCACCCTGCCCACGGCTCCCCCACGCTGCCCCTCGCCAGGGGCCACGGTGCGAGGCTGCAGACACCCACCCCCCTCCCCCCGCAGGGTTACAGCCCCCATGTCCCCCCGGTCCCCCCCCCCCCCAGGATACTGGGGCACACACGGGGCACTGGGGGGGATGATGACACCTTTCTGCACCCCACCCATCCCTCTGCGCAGCCGGGGCACCACCTGCACCCCACGAGCTTGGGGCACCCCACGTCCCCTTACACCCCCGGTAACCCTCGGGCATCCCCGCGCCCCGTGGCACCTTCCAGGCTCCGGTTCCCGCTGCGGCTCCGGGCATCCCTGCATCCCCCGCCCCGGGCATCCCCCGATCCCCGCTGCGGCCCCGAGTATCCCCGGCCCTTACCGGCAGGTGCGGGGCCGCCGGGAGCGGGAACGGCAGCGGGGACGGGCGGCAGCCCCCGCCGCTCTTAAAGGGACCGGGCGGCGCCGGTGCCGCGGGGCCGGGGCGGAACGAGGAGGGATGCTCCCGCCGCGCACAGCGAAGGCTGGGGGGGGGGGGGGGGAAGGGGGGGCGGCACCGGCGGGGACCGGGCCCCACGCCCCCGGTGCGACACGCGGGGAAACACGGCGCGGAGCCGCCGCACGCCCGGCCCCGGGGCTGGACCGGCCCCGAGGGTGGGCGCCGGGACCGCGCCCGCACTGCGGCGCCGCGGGGTGTGGCCGGGGCGTGGCCGGGGCGTGGCCAGGGTGTGGCCGGGACCCCGCCCCGCGGCGCTGCGCCCCCTGGCGGAGCCGGTGGGAACGGCCGCGTGTGTGTGTGTGTGTGTGTATGTGTCCGTGTCCCCCCCACCCCCGCCGCGTCCCCCGTGGTTTCGCCTCACACCGCCACGGACAATCACACGGACACACCACTACCGCCACCAACCCCCCCCCCCCGCGCCGCACACGTAGTATCGCCCGCCGCCCCGCTCACGCGCGTGCGCCCTCCGGCGGGCCGCGCTCCCTCCCCAACCGCCGCTCCGAGGGGCCGCGCGCATGCGCAGAGAGCGGCCCTGCCCGCGCCGCGCATGTGCACGGCGAGCCGCGCCCGCCGGTACCGGGGGAGAGCCGGGGGGTGCGTGTGTGTGTGTGGGGGGGGAACGGGCGGGTTTTGAGCTTCCCCCGCACTCAGCACAAGCAGGCGTGAGCGAGGGTGGGGTGGGGTGGGGTGGGGTGGGGGGGCCTGACCGGTCCCCGGTGGCGGGAGCATGAACGCCGCGCAGGGCACGGTGGGCAGCGACCCCGTTATCCTGGCCACGGCCGGCTACGACCACACGGTTCGGTTCTGGCAGGCGCACAGCGGCATCTGCACTCGCACCGTCCAGCACCAGGACTCCGTATCCTTCACCGGGGGCGTGGGGGGGGTGGGTTGGGGTGGGGGGTGGGTTGGGGTGGGGGGGCCCTCCTCCGCGCCACCCCCCCCCCCCCCCGACGCCGGCAGCACCGGTGGGACCCCGGCTGTTTCTTACCGACCTTAACGGGTGCCTGCAGCAGGTGAACGCTCTGGAGATCACGCCGGACCGCAGCATGATCGCCGCTGCAGGTGAGCCTGCCTGGCTTCCCGTGGCACCGGGGGGGGGGGCACCGGGGGCCGTTGGTCACCCCCTGCCCCGTCGTACTCCCTGCAGGCTACCAGCACATCCGCATGTACGACCTCAACTCCAACAACCCCAACCCCGTCATTAACTACGACGGCGTCAGCAAGAACATCACCTCGGTGGGCTTCCACGAGGACGGGCGGTGGATGTACACGGGTGGGGAGGACTGCATGGCCAGGATCTGGGACCTGAGGTGGGCAGAGGCAGCGGATCCCCCCCCTTGCCCCCTCCCCGGGCAGCTCCCCCGAGGCGGTGGAGCTGATCGCACGCTCTTACACGCGCTTCTCCGTCGCTGTTTTCTTGCAGGTCTCGTAACCTCCAGTGCCAGCGGATTTTCCAGGTGAACGCTCCCATTAACTGTGTCTGCCTGCACCCCAACCAGGTGGGCGCCGGCTCCTCCGCCACTTCCCAGCTCACGCTTCCCCCCCGCCTCCTCCAGATGAACCCTGCGGGAGTTCTGTACTGACAGACGCAGCAAAAAATCTGGAGGGTGGCCTTGCCGGTGGCGCAAGCTCTTGGTGGCATTGCTGGACGAGCAGCAGCCGCCGTCCCACGCCCAGGCTGCTGGTGCTGGGAGCTCTGGGTCGCTGGGGGAGCAGACCCCCCGGGAGGCGGCACGACAGACGCGTGGGCCCTCCGTTTGCCCCGGGAAAAGCCAACCCCGTGTCGTGCCGTGGAGCAAACCCCCCCCCTCCACCCCCGAGCAGGCACCGCAGGCTCCCGTCGTGCCCGCAGCATCGTCCCTGCCGCAGCCGCTGAGCTCGTTTGCCAGCCGGCAAGTTTGTGCTAATTACCTGGTGGCTGTTGCAAAGAGACAGAATAGAGGCTGCGCTGGGCCTCTCGTCCCATAGCAGGGAACAATCCTTTGGCCCCGTGAACATAACTAAGGGGAGTGGGACTGGTGGCACGGGGCGGGCTGGGAAGCCTGAGAGTGGCACCGCTGCCGGGAAAAAGCATCTTGGGGCTTGTGGCCCCTGTTACCTTCAGGACTTTGGTCAGATTTGCTCGAGATTCACCAGTCATTTCAGAAGCTGTTGATAAACAGGGGGGTGGCTGGGAATCGGGAAGCTCAAAGGGAGTGAGGTGCGTTAGAAGGGACGGCGGTGAAAATCCATACGTATTGCAGCGTTAATAACCCATCTGGCCCGCTGTGTGCTCACCACGCTGCAGGGCTGGTTTGCAGACGTGGCAGCACAAACCTTTTTAAAAAGCTGAGCAATAGAAATGTTTCTTTGCATTTCATGTTGCGAAGGTTTTGCAAGTCTGGAATTTCGGACCAGATTTGAGATCAGCTGTTTGGATTAGACTTTACTGCTCTACTCCTGTAGTGCTGGTGCTGTGAGAATGTTAAAACAAGTATTATTGTTGCACACAGATCTTGCATGTGAAATAATCACTAACCAAGGTGATGCTGAGTTGCAGGAGAAGTGTGAGCAGAACGCAGTTAATTAGTCCAAAGGTGGCAGTATTTATTCAGATTGCTTCATCGCTCTGCATTTCACTGCTACAGTGATGCTGATCTATTATCCGAGAGATTTCTCAGGGCCTGGGTAAAGCTGCGACGGCTTTAGCAGTTGCACTTACACCTGCTAAGAGGGGACTAAGGATTGAGGCATCCAGAAGATGCTTCTGCACTGTGCAGTCAGCTAAATATATCGAGCAATGATTGTCTTCCTCAGAAACAAGCCTTTGCTCACAGGTACAGGATTAGCTGCGCCTGATGACCTGATCTCCTCTAGGGATTCTGCTAAAATTATGGACAGCGCAAGACTGTCGATAAAAGCCCTGGCTTTAGTGGAGAGCTGCCAGCATTGTCTTCTGGTCTGAGCACGGGATCGGAGCCAGGACTCCTGCCCTTCAGCTGGCTCTTGTCCTTCCCCTGAGAAGGGGAGAGAGAGAGAAAAACCCATTTAGGCTTGTGTTTTTCAGGTACCTGTACATTCCTGAGTGCTTTAGTTGTTCACTGGCCAACTTGCATCTTAATGCCCTCATCTCAGACGTGCTGAAAATCATTTGGCTGCTGCCGGTGTTGTTTGGAGCTGTAGCTGTGCAACGGTTCTGGAAATCAGGCAGCCGCTGTCTGCTCTGGGGTTTATAAAATTAGCAAACACTTCTGTAAAGGTAAACAGCCTTTTTGCAGAGTGTAACGTGAGATCAGTACTCCGCTTGTTCTCAGCGCGCAGCGGCAGTCAGGAGGCTGTGGAACAGCCCTGTGCTGGGGAATAAAAAGGCAGAACAGGACCCCGATGCTTAAAACCAGAGCAGGGCTCCCCATGGTGCTGCACGGGCAGGGTCTGGGCATCGGCTTGAGGCTGCTGCGGGTGGGGTTCTCCGCAGGGACGAGGCTGTTGTTTTCCTTGCAGGCAGAGCTGATTGTGGGTGATCAGAGCGGTGCCATTCACATCTGGGACCTGAAGACCGACCACAACGAGCAGCTGATTCCAGAGCCCGAAGTTTCGGTGAATTCGGTTCACATCGACCCCGATGCCAGTTACATGGCGGCTGTTAACAGCTCGGTGAGCTCTGACGGCCTCAAACGTGGGACGGGATTTACGGTGCTCCGGCAGCTGCCGGGCCGCGCGCGCCGGCTTGGCCTCCGGCTTTGGATGCGGGAAATCCGGGCTGCTTTTGGGGGGGTGACCACCAGCCCGCCCACAGCTCCCCCCCTCTCGCCGCAGGGAAATTGCTACGTGTGGAACCTGACGGGCGGCATCGGGGAGGAGGTGACCCAGCTGATCCCCAAGACCAAGATCCCCGCGCACAACCGCTACGCCCTTCAGTGCAAGTTCAGCCCCGACTCCACGTGAGTGCGTGCCAGCCCCTCGCTTCCCTGCAGTGGGAAGCGGACGGTCCTTTCCGGGCAGGCAGAGGCCGGCCGTGCCTCCAGCTGTTGGCTGATGTTGGCTCCGCGTGGCCCTGCAGGTCCCCCGGGGAGGAACGGGATGGGACACGCTGGGACCGGGCCGCTGGCAGTGGCACCCCAGCCTCCTGCTCCCCGATCTCGGCAAACTTCACAGCCACGAGCTGTTCTCCCTGGGATCGAACGGCTGATCTCCGGGAGCAAAGTGGCGAACTTGGTGTATTTCTTCACCGAGTCTGTCTTGAATCTCACAAAGCAGACGATATATATGTGTAAAGAAATCCAATCACAATGAACGCAGGTCTCCAGTTATTTACTGTTCCCGGCCCACATTCACGAGAGGCCTTTGGGCGCACAGCGTGACTAACAAGGTTGCCCTCGCCCTGTCTCTTCCTTGCAGGCTCTTGGCTACATGTTCTGCAGATCAGACGTGTAAAATCTGGAGGACTTCAAACTTCTCTCTGATGACAGAGCTGAGCATTAAGAGCAATAACCCAGGGGAAACGTCTCGGGGCTGGATGTGGGACTGCGCGTTCTCCGGGGACTCGCAGTACATTGTCACAGGTGAGGCAACTGCTGCACTCCTGCCCTCGGCCGGGTTTGGACCACGCCAGAGCCCTGCACTGGCACAGGACACACCAGTTCCTCGAGCTGGGATGTTGGCAAACCCTCGTGCACCAGCGTACGCGAGGAGAGAGCACCCAGCCTCACACCCACAACGCGTCGTCTTAACTCCCTTTTGCACATTGCCTGTGCTTAGGGAAGCATCTGTGCTCTTTGTGTCTGCAGTTTATTTCATCTGATAGTAACGCTGCTTGCAGTATGCAGCATGATGGTCCCTTCAAAACATACGTGTGGTAATTTCCACGGTAACTTTTCTCTGAAATAATTGAAACCCCCCCTACTACAGAAAGGCACTAAGCTTCCCGCTCTGCACAGCTCTGCAGCTTGCCGAAAGCCCTAATAACTGTTGAATGAAGCAAGAGAAAAGCCTTTCCTTTTCTAAAGGCATTACCCTTTACGCTTTTTTTTTTTTTTTAATTATGTATATCCCACTTCTCTTTTCACTTTCTGTTCCAGCCTCCTCTGACAACCTGGCCAGACTTTGGTGTGTGGAGACAGGCGAGATCAAGAGGGAATACAGCGGCCACCAGAAAGCAGTTGTCTGCCTTGCTTTCAACGACAGCGTGCTGGGCTAATGGTCCCACGTGGGAAGGAGAGCACCTTGCTCGTGTTGCCTTGTCTTACAGCGGCAAGCACCCTCCCTGGAGCCCGGGCCATGGACTTGTGACCGTCCCCTCCTCTGACAGAGAGGGCTCAGGTCTCTGGGAGCTGCCCCTGCCTGAGGTCAGACCAGGCTTCAGCTCCGAGCAGATCATTACCCAAATGTGTGTGGCCTCTATGGGTGCCACTTGGACAAAAGGGAATGGGAGGGGGCGGCAGGGTCCCCCTGAGGGACCTGGGTACAGGCCAGGTGGAGGAATCCCCGTGGCATCGGCTGCCGACAGCTTTGTGATGTTCTTGTATCTCACAGTGGACAAAAAAAAAAAATAAAAAATAAATCAGCCTTTCTAAATGCTGGCAGAGGCTGAGCAAAGAGAGGAAAGGCAGCTGTTTCCTTGTTTTGCAATCCCTTTATTCAAAGTGTATTTCACAGACTTGCTTGGAGAGCTGCACTCTCACAAAGCCAACCACCCCCAACAAATCTAATAACCTTGTGTTGAACAGGGCACGTAGCCATAAAACACTACTACTCCACGAGACTCCTCTAGGTCTGGATCTCCTACTACCTACGTACAAGATGCAGCCCTAGAGCACAGCTGCAAATAAAGTGTCTGTACTGACAGTGCTGAGCAGGGTCTTGTTATTTTTCTAAATGCTCCTGAACTGCAGCATGAAATCAGCAGGAAGCTTTCGGGGGGATAGTGGAGCTGTTACCTTGTTGAAATCGGAGGCTTTCCAGGAATCCAGTTCAAGTATGTAGAGCAGCAAGAGGGCAGCTGTGGCTGCAGGACTTACTCGGGGAGGTAATAGAAGCAGATAGACACGCAAACGTTGCTTGGAAAACAGATGTCAATGCAAAGGTAGATCAGCCGCTGCTTGCCGGGACCTGCCAAATGAGCGAGGACAGAAGCAGGGTGAGCGGAATGCATTTGCAGTCCTGCAGATAAGAGCCCCTGGGGAGCCAAAACAAGTGGAAAGCCCCAGGGAATGACCGTTCTCATTAAAGCTGGAGTGAAACAGAACAGGATGAGAGCTCGGCAGGCTGCTTTTGGTGACGATGCCAGCAGCGGCGCAGGGGACAGCTCTGTGTCGTACAAGGGGGCTGTGCTGCCCGGGGAAGGGGGTGCGGAGCCTTTCCCAGCCAGCACCCTCGATCGCTGCAGGTTGTGGGTACGAGCCAGCGCGCCGCGATCGCTGAACAATGGTTTGATTTTGAACTAGAGGTCACCTGTCCCTGTCCTGGCCCTTGGCAGCCCGTCCCGAGACACGCACCAGCTTCTGCGCAGCAGAGCCTGCTCCTCTTCGACGTACTAGAAACAATCCTGCAAAGGGACACGTACAACTTACCCTCCCTTCTCTTGACCCAGAAGATGGATGTCTGCTCACACAGGGTCTGGACGGCCTCTCCCAGGCTTTTGGGGTCCACCCGTTCCCCCACCAGAATGCCCATGAACTCCCGGTAGTACTTGGTCTGGTTATTCTGACGTAGCAGCTCGTCAGCCTGAAAGAAACGTCGCGTTAATTCCTCCCAAGCCACTTGGCCCTTCCTGGCGCTGCCCTCCAGCCCCGCAGACCTGCTCTGGCTCTCAGGGCACCCCAGGGGCACTCTCCACCCCGGCACCAAGGGCAGGTTTCTCTCAACGCTGGCCCCATCTCACCGGGGTGCTCTCCCTGGCTGGAGCAGCCGCCCTGGAGGAGCCTGGCTGCCGGGGGTGAGGCCGGAGCGGGGGCAGCCCGCAGCCCCCGGCCAGCCCTGCAGCTTGGGCAGCCGGGGACGCGGTTCCTCCCCAGCCACTCGCTGGGCTGCCTCGTCCTCCGGCCTGGAGCCAAACCACCCCCTTGCGCCGGGTGTCACAACGGCCACAGCCCGCGGAGCATCGGGTCTGACCCGCGCCTGCCCGCCCAGCGCCGCTGCCACCCCCGGGGTCGTATCGCAGCCACAGTGACACCCCCCCCACCCCCGGCAGCCCCGTCCCCCTCTCCACACAGAGCCCCCAGCACTGGGTGTGATGCAAATCAGCGTCCCCAGCCCCGTTATGGCCGGGACTGGACAAGGCTGAGCTGCAGCTGCTCAACACCAGGTCCCCTTCGATGGCCACGTGGGCTGCTGGCAGTCCCAGCACCACCAGTTCTTCCATTAAGGAGGCTCAGAGCCTGGCAAACACTCCCTTCTCCTTGCGTCCCCTTTGGTAGCCTGCTCTCATGGGTGCTGTGTTCCTACACCCCTCTGGGTTAAACCCTGCCCCTCACTGCCCAGCTGGGTGGGAGCGGCAGGCAAGGGCCAAGGAGCCCCCGGGAGCCTCCGAGGAAACGGAGAGCAGATGGCAGGGGCACAAAAAACCGGGGCTTTCTGTCTTCTTGAAACAGAATCTGCCCCCCACCCACGCATCCATTAACATTTTGTACAGAGGGTCCGTATACATGATTTACTTCAACTTTCTTCCCTGTGAATTGCTAACAAACCCCCTTTGTTTTTTGTTCCCCGGATTTTTGAGCAGGTAACAGAATCCAGTGGGAGCAGGTCCTGCGAGAGCCCTGCTATTCACCTCTGTGGGACATATCCCCCTTCCCCGACCTGCCACTCCGCTGTTTCTCACAGAAGATAGGATATCGATAAAACCGGGGCTTGCTGCTGGGCGCTCGCAGGCTGAGCCCAGCCCTGCAAGGCAGAGCTCTGCTCCCACACCAGACACCAGCCCCGCTCCCCCCAGCAGCGAACGGCACAGGATGGGGGGCTGCCGCTGCCACCCCCGCCTGGGAGGGGTGTCTGAGCCCTCATTTAGCCATGCTGGGTGTGGGGGGGCTGCTGTTAAAAAGTCACCCCTGCAAACACAACTCTGTGCAGGGAAGGGCTTCCAGCGAGCCAGGGCTCCGTGCAAAGCCCAACCCCTCGCCCCCGTCCGCCCAGCCGCCCCGGGGAACGGCCGCAGCAGCCGCTCACTCCCTGCTCGGACGTGTTGAGGGATGGCTGCAGGGTCTGGAGGTCCCAGGCGTCCATCCTCCTCAGGTAGCACACGCGCTGCTCCGCCGGCTTGTAGCACACGTAGCCCTGCGAGACAGGTTGTGCCCTGTGAGAGCAGGCAGCAGCACGCACCCACCGCTGCCGAAAGAGCCCCAAAAGCACCACTTTATTTCCCCTGCGTTGTCTTTCCTAACTAAAAGTGCAGAGAAAGGCACCAAACAGCAGCTGGTTGGTATTTTTCCTGGTCTACACCCCTGCTCCCACCCCGGCAGATCTTCTGGCAGCAGCCTGGGCTCCTCTGTTTGCTTCCGTGCTAATGAGGCAGGTAATTATCCCAACCCACTTACGTTCCGGCTGTCATACAGCACCACGGCGGTGTGGTTACTCTGCGAGGTTACGTAGTAGGTCACGGTGCTCCTGGACTTGTCCACCAAGGCTGTCTGATTCCTCAGCGGGTCTTGCTGCCCCTGGAACGTTAGCCGGATGAGCTGCGAGCCAGCCTGGGGCAGAGAGAGGGAGGGAGGGAGGGCAGCACCAGCCATCAGTGCCCGCGCGCAGCATCTCCCCACCCGGACCTTTTGCTGGTCCCTGGTGCTCGTCTGAATTATTTAGCAAGATTGAGAAGGCAGCTCAGAGCCCAGGGAGGGGAGCGGATCCGTGAAGCAGACGGCTCTCCGCCACGCAGGGCTGGGGGAGAGGTGCCGGTGCCTCTCACGCCGGAGGCACCCACCCTGCCCAGCAGCGGGGTGCTGGAGGAGAGGGCCAGGGGACCCACCAGCCTCTGCTACAGCAGCACACGGCGGGAGGCTGGGATCCGCCTCCCCAGCCAGCACGGCTCGCTGGCAGCAAACATCCCCCCCTGCCTCAGAGGCTGCAGCCACATGCTGGAACACGCGGGCTTAGCGAAACACCAGCTCGCGGCTGTATTTCCAATCGACGCGCTGAAGTGCCTCTAATTTAAGCAACGGTTCCTGGCGGGTGCGTTGCAGGGGTAAGAGCCGCTGCTCAGGCTCGCTGCCTGCACCTTCCTGCCCTCCTGCCTGCGTCGGGAACCGGCCAAACCCAGCCCTGCTCTCAGCCCGCTCATCCCTCCCGGCAAGGGCTTCCGAACAAAACCGGGCGCAGGCGGGAGGAGGCTCCCTGCCTGGATCGGGATCCCTTACCTGGGCAGAGCTGGGGGAGAAGCTGAGAACCCCCAGCACGCTGATGCCAACAACTGCAAAAAACAAGGCAATGGACAAGACGATCCAGAAGGTCCTGGATGGAGCTGTGAGGTGTCCTGCAGCCCTCCTGTCCTGGGAGCCAGGGCAAAAGAAGGAAAGGGCAGGAGTTAAAGTCAACCCCTTCTGCTGGTTACTGTTCCTCGCCGTAAAACGCGCTTCCCGCTCATGACACAAATCGTCGTGCAAACCGCTGGGGTTTGAGGGCAGAGCTGCCAAACCACTGCAGCACCTCTGGAATAACGTCGCTTCTATCCCACAGTGCTGAAGTTTCAGATCCGACATCCCGGTAACCAGCACTCCCACAGCCCAGCACCTTCCTCCTGCGGCCAGGGAAGCACGGAAACGCTGCAAACCCGCCGAGGAAGGGCTGGAGCAGGAAGCTTTCCACAAATGGGCTGCTGCTGCGCTTTAGGAGCAAATTAAATCATTTGGGTTTATGGCAGAAATCCCCAGGACAACCATCAGCATGTGAAAGAGACCCTGTGTGGAGTGATCCTGCTTCCTTGCCTCTCCGTACATTTGGTTGTATTTTATTTTCCTGATAAGCTGCTCTTCATGCAGACCAAGCTGTTACTCGAAGCAAAAGAGCTTGGCAGTCATGTGGCATTTCTAGTGGTTCTATTCAAATTTACTTTAATTCTTATACTGAAACAATTAAATTTAACTTAATGGCGCGTAGAATTATTTTTACAAAACAGAAAGAGTGTGCTTTCAATAATCCCAACCGTACAGCCCACACTTAAAAAAATAATCTGTTTCTCAATCATCTGAAGCACATTGAGAAATTCAATAAATGCCCATGGTTAGATTTGCTGCGGCTGCACAAGGAACGGGCTCCTCAAGCCTCTGGGTCAGTTACTGATTTTTTTTCCATAATACGTAACTTCTAGATATATTCCACCAGAACAGCAGCGAGTCTTAACAAAGTTAAAACTGCGCAAAGCTGAAATATCATCAATTCAAATGCAATAGAGCCCAAAGCCCTCCAGGAGCGGGCAGGTTTTCAATAGCTAATGAAATTCCCTCGGGTGGGAAAGGCGCAAATAAAGAAATCCAGCGAGTCCTGTCCCTCGGCAGGTCGCGGTTCCCCCGTGCACACACCCCCCCGAGCGGCTCTGCAGCGCGAGCCGGGGGTCTTCGGCACCTCTAACCCGTGTAAGTCCGGGCACTTACGAGAAGATCCAGCTGCCTCACGACGAGCTGAGCCGTGGGGATGAACAAAACCCTACCAGGATCCGCGGGAGCGGCAGGTGCTCAGCCCCTTCAGCAGAGGAATCGAGCGGGCACAGCGCGGGGGCACCGGGGATACTCACTGCAGGGACGGCGTCGCTGGTGCTGTTCCCCCCCTCCATCCTCCGCGTCAGACGAGGACCTGGCCCCTGCAGCTCTGCCTCCCGGCAGCACACGGACTGGGCATCATCCCCGGCTCCAGGCGCGCCCGGGGAAACCTAAGCGTGCATCCGCCAAACGCAAAGACGCGTCCCAAGGGCTTCCCAGCCAGGAGCTCCCCAGCTCCGACCCGCGGGGAGGGCGAAACCTTAGAGCTGCCACCTGGCCTCGGGGGGGGGGACGGGGACGGGGGGGGGACGGGACAAAACCCAGGGCTGCCGAGCGATGCCGTCAGTGCATCGACCCGCTCTTCCTGCTCACCTTGCGAGCCGGCTGGAGGGGGCAGGTGGGTGACAATCGGGGGCTTTGTGTCAGCCCTCCCTGCTGGCAGGGCCCGCAGCAGCACCGGGTAAGTCTCATTAAGAGGCACAATGAATAGAGAGAAGTGGCAGCCTGCCCCTGTCATCGGTTATTTCTCCGTTTCAGCATGGACTTCGTGCCACCGTGGGCTGAAGCCAAGCAGGCTGCTGCCCCGCAAGCCTTGGCTGCGTGGACGGGCCCGCGTTCCGCCTACGGACCTCGCTCCCTGCAGACCCCGGGGAAAAGGATCCCTGCTACAGAGTCACATCCACAACCCGAGCTGTGCTCGTGCTGACACCCGGGTCCCGGGGTGAGGGACACCCCGCGGGGAACAGGCTTCCTGGGTTGCCAGATCATGGTTTTCCTGAGAGCTTTGTGTTTTTGAGATCTGCCAGCCAGATGTCACCAACCGAAGGGAGGCAAGGAAAAGCTCAGCAGAATTCCTTCCCACGGTGTCTACGGAGGGAAAACGCAGCTTTTCGACACGTTCCTATGGAGCACGGCCCAGGGCTGACCCAACTCAGCCAGGAGGGCAGCTCATCCCAGTTTCTCGTCATCGAGGCACCAGCAATCCCTCTCCCCTTCTGGAAGTCCAAACCGAGCTGTTTCAGTAGGAGCTCACCAGCCCATTGTAGGGGCTGTGCACTCAAACGTTGCGGCCAACGAGTCAACCAGCCACCACGGTCACTCCTCCAGAACAGCAAACCGGAGAGTGCCAGACACAGCGCCCCGTGCCGCGGCTCCGATGAAAGGAGGAACGGTGGTGGGACCGTCGAGCCACCGCTTCTGCTTCCACAAACAGACGGGAGAGACGAGAGGCAGCGCTTCCCGCAGCACAGCCTGCTGCTGCTTAGCGCAGGAAATTCAAAAACCAAGCTGCAACAGGCAGGCAGGCAGGGTGTTCTCCCCATAGGGATTTTAACAGCCGCACAGCAGACACCTTCTTACTTTAAGAAACACACGCTCTGCCTCAGCTTAGGCAGAGGAACGAAGCAAAACCCTCTACAAATCCTTGTTTGTGAGAGGATTATTTGTTCTGCTCTGCACTGTCCTCTCAAAGAGAAGCAAATCCCAGCCCACACTAAGAGCTCCAGGCACCTGAAGCAAAGATACTCCAGGGTTTGGATTTCCTTCCCCCATACCACGTGTGAGGAGCAAAGCTGATAAACACAAACCCCAGCCCTAACTCCCAGAATTTCCATGTGCTACAGCTGCGGTGAAGCTTGCGGAGAAGACTACAAAATAAGAGAACGCCAGGGGGAAGCAGGATTGTGAGTTTAATGTGAATTCAAGTAGAGGCTTAAAAACCGTTTGGAAGTTGATACAGAGTTTTGAAGCACGACCGACACCTTCACCAGCACATTTCAGCACACGTGAATCGAGGTAATGGTTCCCTTGGACAGTGGATAGCACTCGGCAGGGACAGCGCACGGCCTGAACGAGGCCAGACGCCTCTCCTGGCGTTTACTTGCCATATTCTGAAATTATAAGCACCAGATAGAGGAACCAAATCAAAGCACACGTCGTTAAGCCAGACCCTACCCGCAGTAAATCCGCAATATCCACTCCACGTTACCCAGATAAAGTTCTACGTCCAAGTATTTCTCTGCGAGTTTCCACAGCCCCAGCCTTCTAGCTGGAGGCAGGAACAGGGAAGGGATGCTCCATGCTTCCTCCCACGGCTCCGAGTTACAAACGAACACCCTTTCACAACAGCTAATACTGTGTAACACCCAAAGAGAGCAGGAACTGCACCGTTATTGCTGTACAAACAAGATGCGAGTCTACTGGTTTCGAGTGTCCGAGCAGAAGGAAATGGCATCGACACGCTGCTAGAGCTGAGCTGAACACCGGGAGATGAAGGCAGGCCAGTGTTTAAAATTAATTGCCAATAGTGGATTCTACGCAATAAAAGCATGTTATTTGCATATATATTTTTTCACTGAATTCTGTAACGCAAAAGCTTTCAACTGTGGCCCTTAATTCAGCCAGCACAAAAATCGACCCTGTAGCCTGAGCTGTGCATCACCCAAACCCACCCAAAGATCAAAATGAAGTCATCGCCTGAGCAAGCAAGCACTCCTCTTCGGACACGCAGCCGGTGCCCGGCCCCCATGCCAGGCACACGTGGAAGATCTTAACATTTACCTCAAATATTGAAAGGAAGCACATGCCATCGTCACACGCAGCCAGTACTCCCACGGGATTATTCTGGTGTACTACAGCTGTACTACAGCCGTACTACAGCCATGCCCCATGGGCCGAGCATTAGTGCAGACTCTGCAGCTGAAGCCAAGGCAAGCGGCTGTTTTGATGCTGAGGGAAGTACAAGAACTAACTCGGTACCAATCGGCCCCGGTGTTTCTGGGAAGCAGCAGTAGTGAAGGACAGTCCTATGTGGTTAGAGAGTTTCTGCATTACCGAATGCAAAAGCTTGGGATTGAATCTACTGGGATCAGTGAAGTACATTCCTCTCATCCTCCCTTCTGGGAAACACGATATATTATCATATACTATACTTAAATTTATATTTTAAATATATTCCGATATATATTTAGGATTAGGGTAGTTCTTGTTATGTACATGTACTTTATACATACACCCAAAGCTTGGACAAGTACAATATACAGAAGACACCATCTGTATTTTGTGAGTGGAATCATCCTAATCCGTATCACAAGTGCGATTTGCAACGGTCAAATAAAGGAGACAGATTTGTTTCTGTGACCTGACATTGCGCTTGCAGCGGGCTGTACTACTAAACAGGACCTCAGCTGGGAAAAAAAAAAAAAAAAAAGGCAAAAAAAAAAAAAAAGGCCAAATGCTAATTCTGCCAGCCACTGCAAGTGTCTCCAAACACAGCTGCTAAGTTACTACACACTCCGAGAGTCATTTCCCTGAATAAACCAGACTGAGCCACAGCCTGCCCAGGTGGGGACACGCTGCAAGACGTTGGGCTCTTTTCCTCAGATCAACCAGCTCTACTTCCCTCGACTCAGTCCAGAGGACAATGCGACATCATGTACCACAAACATTTGGATAGATGTGTCGCTTCGAATTTAAAAAAAAAAAAAAAAAAAAAGGCCCCAAGACTTGGGTGACACTGTAATGCCCTCTTAGTTTCAAAGTGCATTTATAGACTGAGGTGTAAACAAAATCGTATCAAGAGGGCAGGAAGGTTAAGAAGCGAAGGGCTGCTAACTCCGGGTGGTATCCTAGTGAGTACGTTACTGTCACAAGGTGATTAAGAGGGGCCCTCCTCAGGGTGCCGCTGCGCAGGCTGCAAGCATTTTGCTCTACTAATCCCCCAGCGCCGGGAGGAGGTCGGCTATGCTCTCGACGTAGTAATCGGGAACCAGGCTCTGCCTGGCAGGACAGTCGCTCTCCTGGTGACCCTGCACTTCATCCAGCGTGGTGACGCCGGTGAGTGTCAGCAGCGTGGTGAGGCCGCAGGTGTTGCCCATGAGGATGTCCGTGTCCAGCCGATCCCCCACCATGATGGTACGAGCGGGATCGATGTCGAACTCGCTCGCCACGCAATCGAACATGTACCGGTTGGGCTTTCCCACGATGAACGCCTCGCGCTGGGCTGCCGTCTCCACTGCTTTTACCAGGCAGCCGGTCCCTGGGGAGGGGAGAAAACACGGATTAGAGACTGTGGAAGACTATCAGCATTCAGGCGAGCTGGCAGAAACCCACACAGCGCTGCAGGCACGCAACGCCTCGGCTTTATGGGCAGAGGAACAGGCTAGTCCCAAGGGAAGCGTGGTGTAAAACCTGCCGGGAGGCTGGAACGTGGTCCCGCATCGAGATCAAAACGGAACTGCTATTCCCCGAGTAAAGGACCCACAAGGATTCTCCCCAAAAGATCGGGGGGGGTGCAGAGGGGAGGCCCAGGCTGCCTCACTGAGACACAGGGATGAGCCCAGCCGCCCCCTGCCACCTCCACCCCAGACCCCCGCGCACCGGGGATGGCAGCGCCGCCCTCGAGCGGGAGCCGGTGGTCCCGGTTGGTACCGACGAGGAGGCAGTCGGGGCCGCCCCGCAGGAGGTAGCGCAGGGCCTGGCAGAGCTTGGCGTAGCTGAAGTGTTCGTCGAAGCCGACGAGGACGGCGCGTACGGAGGGGTCGAGCGGCGCCTGGGCCCAGTCGGCGGGCGCGGGGCCGGGCAGGGCGGCGGGGCCGGGCCCCAGCGGCGGGACACCGGCGGCCTCCAGCTCGGCGGCCAGCGCGGGGCTGCCCAGCACGTAGGCGGCGGCGCCGGGCGGCAGGGCCTGGCGGAGGTAGCGGGCGGCACAGTAGGCCGAGCCGAAGACGTGGCGGGGCTCGGCGGGCGGGAAGCCGAGGCGCCTCAGCTTCTCGGTGTAGGCCGCGCGCGTCCGGCTGCTGTTGTTGGTCACGTAGCAGAGGCGCTTCCCCGCCGCCGCCAGCCGGCCCAGCGCCGCCGCCGCGCCGCTCACCGCCGCCTCGCCCCGCCACAGCACGCCGTCGCAGTCGAACAGCAGCGTGTCGGCGGCGCCCAGCACGGCGCGGGCCGCCTCCGCCTCCAGCCGCCGGCAACGCCGCGGCCCGCCCGCGCCCGCCATGGCCGCCATGGCCTCCCCTCAGCGGCGCCGCGCGGCCCGGCGCTCCCCATTGGCCGCGCCGTGCCCGCCCCGCGCTCCCCATTGGACGGTGGCCTCCTCCGCGGAAAGGGGGGGGGCGGCGGTGGCCCCGCCCACCCCGCCGGGCTCTCCCGCCCTTTCCTTTTCCTTTTCTCATTGGCCGCCCTCCTGGCTGGCCCGCCCCCCGCGCGCTGCTATTGGCCGGGAGCCCGCGAGCGCCCCGGGCGCTCCGCGACCCATTGGGCCATCCAGCCGCCGCGGGGGCTCGCTCGGTAACTCGTTAGGCTCCGGTGCGCCCGGGCGAGGGGGTCAGAGGTCACCGCGGGGCGGGGGCGCGGCGCCGGTGCCCCGCCGAAGCTCCCGCGGCCGCCCGCCCCGCGGCCCGTTGTTATGACGACACGGCCGTAAAGCCGCCATCTTGGCGGTTGCGGCTCGTTGCGACATGGAGGCCGCGATGGCAACGGGCGCGGGGCCGGCGGGGCTTACGGCAGCCGCGGCCGGCGGGCGGGAGGCGGCGGCGGGCGAGGGCTCCGGTCCCGCCGCGCCGCCCGCCGGTCCCGCCGCCTTCCTCAGCCTCCCGGCGCCCTTCAGCGAGGAAGGTACCAGGCGCGGGGCGGGCGGTGTCGCCGTGACAGGGCCCCGGCCGCAGCCGAGGGGAAAGCGGGGCCCGGCGCGGGGGAACCGGCCCGTGCGGCGCTCGGTGCGGGGCGGGCGGGGTGGAGGTGGAGGAGGGGGGGGGGGCCCGGCTGTGTCGGTTCTGGCGACGGGGTCTCCGCGCTTCCTCCCGCCTCCGGGCTGCCGGAGCGGACCCCCGGGGTCCGGCGGGATCCCCCCCGCTCCGCTCCAGAAACCGCGAAAAGACCCTTCGGCGACCCCCGCCCCCGGGACAAGCAGAGCAAAAGTTTTCGATATAAACGCTGCTCGGTCGTAATCTGTTTGCTTATTTATTTATGTATTTACTAAACCGTTCGTATTTTGCTAAACCGACGACTGACTTTTAAATCGTAGATGAAGATGACGTGCATAAGTGCGGTCGCTGCCAGTCGGAGTTCACCTCCTTGGAAGAATTTGTGCAACACAAACTACAAAAGGTCTGCCAGCGAGCTCCAGAAGCTCTCGCTGCTGCATCAGCAGGTCTCCTCCACCAAGAAGTACAAAAGGTGACAGCAGGCTTCTCCTCAAGCCGTGGCTGAAAATAATTAGGATGCAACGGTCTGTTGGGTTGGAGGGGAGAGAGCGGAATACAATGTTTTTAAAGGTAATAAAACTTTTCTGCTAAAATGTTATCTGTTACAGCAGGTCGTTCCTTCTGTCGAGGAGTCGATAACTGTTGCTCATATAGTTGTTGAAGCATCTTCAATAGCAGAGGAAATCGGCAACGCATCTGCTATAGTAGGTGAGCTCCGAGACGCTTGCCTTTATACCCCGGCTGGGTTAGGAACTTCTTTGCTCGTCCGGTGTCCTCTTCTGTTGGATTTGTGTTGTAGTTGGGTACGTGGCACCTCGGTGTTACTGAGCACTGGGGCTTGGGACTGAGCATCCCCAGGCCAGCTTTGCAATTCTCTCCGTATTAATACAAATTAGATTTAAAACGCCATTCCAGAAGTGTCCGTTTTTCTGTTTATGCTGCGGTAATGAGAACTTTGCAAAGACCTGCGTTCCAGGTTTAAAGTACTTGTTTCTCCCTCCTACTACATGAAATGCTGAAACAGTAAATTGATCTGGCTGCGTAAAGCTCTTCTGTAAAGAACACAACTGTCTTCCAATCCTTTCCCCAGGCAGCGGGCACATCAAAGAAGTCATTGTTGCAGGAGACCATGTTTTTGAAAACCCAAATGGTCACATTGAGGGGGAAGTCACTGATGAGCAAGGCAACCCAGACGATCAGGAGCAGGATATTTCCACAGAACTGATAAAAGTTAAGCTGCTGGTTAACAAAGAAGGGCGATACGTATGCGAATTATGCCAGAAGACATTTAAAACCGTAAGTATCACTTCTACTCTACTTGGGTTAGTGAGTTATTTAGGCTGTTAACTAAGACATCTCAAAACTCAATGACAATGTGCTTCTCTACTGCATGTTCCACTTTCAGAAGGAGAGTTCAGCTTTCAGGAGGAGGATTGTTCTTTACAGTTGACATGTAAAATCCTTAACCGTTTGGAACATCTTTTCAAATGAAACTCTTTCCGTAGGCAAGCATCCTCAAAGCTCACATGATCACTCACAGCAGCAGAAAGGACTATGAATGTAAACTCTGTGGCACTTCCTTCAGGACAAAAGGCTCTCTGATTCGACACCATCGGCGGCACACTGGTAAGACAGTTCTCAAAACTAAGAGCTCCTCGTTGCTGGAGTGCGCTGTGTGAGGTTTTCCAGCTTACCTTCCAGTGGAAGTTCCTGCTGAGCTCCCCGATGTTTGGGGTGCTGGGAGGCAACGCGAGGGTCTGGGCCAAGCACAGTCTGCTTGCTGTAGGAAGTCGAGAGCGTTCTCCTAGCAGCCTGTCACACAGAGCTAATGCTGGCAGTGGTTAGTTTAATACCGTTGTTTTGATTCTTGTCACTTCCAGATGAAAGACCTTACAAATGCAAGAAATGTGGGAAAAGCTTCCGGGAATCGGGAGCTTTGACTCGGCACCTGAAATCTCTGACACCTTGCACTGAAAAAATTCGCTTCAACATGAACAAAGAAATAGTAGTTAATAAAGATGATTTGCCGACAGGTCAGTGATGCTGTCAATGCCTGCCTTGCGTCTGATAAAACCCAGCATGCTCCTGGCACTTGAACTCTAAATTCTTTCTCAGTTATGGAAAAAAAAAAAAAAAAAAAAAATTCTGTGGTATTCAGTTTATAGCCTTAGTACAGGAAAAAGTAATTTATAGAGCTAAGCTGTTAACCTGAAGTGCGTGTAGCCAGGCGTTGGCTGGTGAAGAATGTTTGAGAATCTGGTACAGAAATGGCTTTAACAGGTGCCTCATACTGAGACACATTTTGTGTGGGGCACAGCAAATGATGAGGGGTGGCAGGGCGCCAAGTGATTCACTGTGCTGCTTTTCTTGAAGGATCCTGTAGTTCAAACGCAGACACCGTTTCATCGATAGCGAGTGAATCCATCGAGACCTCCCCCGTCATTCATCTCGTGACAGATGCCAAAGGCAACGTTCTTCATGAAGTCCACGTCCAAATGCAGGAACTTCCTGTTGTAGATGCAAAATCCCTGGACCAAGATGTGAGTGTCACTTCCCTTAAATACCCTTCATGTGTTTCATGCGAAGAAGGATTTTGAAGTATTTCACCTCACAAACAACATTTTCGTGGGTGCTGAGAAGAAATCTGTGTGGTGGAAGTAAATGGTTAATTAGCTTCTTTTTCATCTGAGAACACAGAAGGCAAACTGTGACCTTGTCTGGCCATCTGCTGCTGCTGAGCCCAGCAGCACATGTATAGCGTCCAGGGGGGATGTGCAGGGTTCACCACCACCAGACAGACAATACGGAAGGTGAGAGGGTGTTGGGGTTGACCATTCCTGGCTACAGGACTGTGGTAGGAGCAAAGGCTTACCATCCCCGGGGCTCTGTTTTCAGAATATAGATTCACCTCCTCTTCCACCCCCGTCCAAGGTAGTTCCCCTGTTGATCTTTCAACCCTTTATCACAGCGTTAAACACCCTAGAAAGAACGACTGTTCTTGCAATGCCGTTGTAAAAAAAGGGCTAGCTGTGTATTTGCTGTACCAGTTACTGGGCTGTTTGTTCCTTCAGCAGTCGCATCCTGAGGAGCTGCCGTGTGAGGGGGAAGTGAACAGTGAGAATCTGCTGAGGCAGGCCATGAGGAACTCGGGTATCGTGATAGAGAGAGTGGCTTTGGAGGAAATGCAAAAGCCAGATGAGCCTGCTGTAGCTGCTACAGAAGAACTAGAAAATGAAACGGTGGAAGCCGAAGAGGAGCCCTGTGGGGAACAGTGTGTTGAAGTAGAACAAGTGGAGTCTGTATGTTTTTATTCTGTAAATAGATGGATTTTTTAAATTTTGCCTGCGTTTCGCTGTGGGCAGCACTGTTAGCCCCCCCACGCTGCATGTTATCCTCAGCACATCCCTCCCTCTGCTTGGGTCTTTGTGCCAGTTTTCAGTCATGTTTTTCACGTATGCTTTAAGTGTACTGTAAGTATGCATGTGCGTTCTCTCTCCTGTTAACAATACAGAGCTCTTTCTTGTCAAAGGTGGAGTATTTAATTGGGAATTTGGTTAGCAATACCTACTGTACACACTAGTACAAAAAATGTTTACGTTGTACCATTTTCTTTCCAACAGACAGATGCAGAAAGAACAAATGGGTACAAAAGTTACATTTGCCCTCACTGTAATGAAGCCTACAGTGAAGCTGCTTCCCTTGAAACACACATCAAAGGGCATTTAGGTAAAGTTCTATTGCTTATGCTCTTGTCAAAATACATCATGTCTTACTATGACCTTAAGCCTAGTACAGCTTGCTTTGTTTCAGGTTCCTTGTCTTTACATGGCTGTTAGCCATGCAAAATCAAGTGATGCTTAACACACTGATACGAAAAGGTTGACTTTTGGTTGAGTGCTAGAATAGAGGGTAAAAGAAATAAATTTTAAAAGTTTCCACGTTTCAAGGCCTGCACTGCATCCTTGAAAGTAGAGCTGTGTGAAGAGGCCAATAAAAAGGTCAGCAAGGCACCACGGGTTGATAGGCTGGAACTGCTGCTTGAAAAGGCACCAAAGGCTGTAAGAGCAATGTTTGAGCAGAATTCACTTACGAACGAAACCAAAGCCCATACACGCAGTTGAAGATACAATTTCCCTCTTCCTCTGGGTTAATTTTTTTGTAAGAATTTTGTCACACCATCTGTTAGATACTTGCTCCTGCAGGTTGTCCTGTATCAACCATGCACTCTGTCTCTCTAGATTACAAGCCTTTTAAGTGTGAGGAGTGTGGCAAAGAGTTCACAAAGGGTTATTTGCTAAAAAAGCATCAAGAAGTTCATGTGAATGAACGGCGTTTCCGCTGCGGAGAGTGTGGCAAGCTCTACAAGACCATTGCACACGTGAAGGGGCATCGCAGAGTGCACTCTGATGAGCGGCCCTATTCCTGTCCGAAGTGCGGCAAGCGGTATAAGACGAAGGTACGCTTCCCTTCAGATCTTCCTTTTCAGAGCCAGGGTTTGGGAGAAGTTAGGAAGCTTTGCTCCTGAAAGAACAAATGCCAGCTCACCTGCCTCTTACATGATCTGGAGCTCCAGAAGGAGCTTTTGTTTTAGTGGGCAAAAGAGTCTTAATGAAACCTACGCGTTTGTGAAGAAGCACTTCCTTTGTGTGTGTGTGAAAAAATGACATAATGATTAAAACAAGTCTGTTGTGTCTTACGTCAGAAGAAGTCCTCAACGATCTTGAGTTTCACACGGGAAGCTAAAATACAGCTTGCTTGAGTTTGTCATTCCCTTTAGCTGCCCTTTTCTCCCTGTACAGAATGCCCAGCAAGTTCATTTCCGTACGCACTTAGAGGATAAGCCCTACGTCTGCCAGTACTGCAGTCGGGGCTTTCGGGAAAAGGGCTCGCTGGTCCGCCACATCCGCCACCACACGGGGGAAAAGCCTTTTAAGTGCTACAAGTGCGGGCGAGGGTTTGCAGAGCACGGCACTCTCAACAGGCACTTAAAAACCAAAGGTGAGGTGGCAAAGCATGTCTGCGTCAGGGTGGGGCAGGTATTACAGCAGGGTTGGGCTTGGGCAAGCTGCTTTTTGGCTGAATGGTCATGATTTTACGCAGTGGATCTGATGACCTTCGTCCAAGGCCACTTGTTCAGCTGCATCTCAGCTGCATCAGAAGGAGATGCGTTATATTATTTTTCATCTACGTTAATGATTATTTCTATTGTGATTGTTATGAACAGAAATGATACCGAACCAACAGCCATAAACCAGCGCTAATATAAAATCTAGATCATCTAAATAAAGATAACCAGAACAGCATCTGCTTTAAGAATCTAACTGCAGGGGTGCTGTGAGCGCTCTGCTCCAAACTCTGGTTTAAGAGGTCTCTGCCCTAAGTGAGGCAGACAGACCCGATACCGTAGGAGAGTCTGCCCCTAACTGCGAAGCGGTTCTGTTCCAAGACGATACGCAGAGAGGGAGAAAATTAACATTTTCACAAAGTAAGGCCAGAGAGAGATTGATTTCTGTTTTAGGGAACGAGGCAAGAGGACTGTAAAACTTAGTGTGGCACATACTGTTATGGTTAAACTTGCCAATTGTTTTATCTGAGCATTAAATTTGTACTATGGGGCTTTATGAAATCCTGTAAAAACACAAAGTGTGGATGTTCTGTGAGAAAAATCTCTCAAGTAGAGTTTTGTTCTGACAGGTAGTCTTGTTTGTTAGGATTAGTTACACTGGACCTGCTGCTCCTGTAGCTCCTAAGCATGGATTTTCAAACTTCCTTAGGGTAGTGATGGTGATTGTAAAGAACAATACAAGTTTACTGGAGGAAAAAAAAGTTTCCTAAGTAGATACTGAAGTGTAACATGTAAGCAGAAAAGATATGTGACTTCAAATATATCAGAAGCCTTACTGTATGTTCTCCACCATACAGCTTTTGAAATCCTGTCTGGCTTTACTCATCTGAATTTAGTTGTATGTTTTTTGAAATTGCTCTGGACAGTCGCTGTGCTCGAGGCTCAGTTCTGTGGTCCGGTGTCACGTGGGCCTCTTCTAGGTCGTTACTTGGCCTGTCTTGGAGGGGTGACTGTTGTCCGACTGTTGGGTCGCCTGCCAGCAGCATTCTGTTAAAGGGATCTCACTTGTGCTGCGTAGTATTTTCTAGGTACTCCTCTCTTTGAGACAGTTATGAAAAAATAATGTTTTTCTGGCATTTTTGGAATACGATTCAGGTGGCTGCCTCCTTGCTTTGAAAGAGGTGGAAGAAGTGATGGTGTCTGAGGAAAGTCAGTCAGCTGACAACTTAGCTGCAACAGTCATTTCTGAAGACCCTCACACTGTTTTGGTCGAGTTTTCTTCGGTGGTGGCAGACACTCAGGAATACATCATTGAGGTAAGAAGTGGGGCAAACAGCCTTCACATTCTGAACTTCGCACAGTATTTTGTCAGTAAAAAAGGCGGTTGTGCATGTTCCTCATCTAGGCTTTTGGGAGAAGGTACAATAGGATCTAGCCAGTGCTACCCCTGCCTGCGCAGCCCTAGGAATAAGGAGGATTAGTCTTGCTCAGGAGAGCGCCTGGACCCGACTTCACCGCCCGTCTGGAGTCCTGCACGTAACGTAGGCAGGAAAAACGAGAATGCAGGGAAGACCGACAGTAGTTCATCAGAAGGCTGACACTGAGAACTTGCTTCAGCTTTCCCTCAACTTTTACCCGCTCTTTTCTCCCATGTTTCTATTTAGCTTATTTTGTCCAGAATAATCTCTGTTGTTTTTAACTGGCTGCGGCTGCCAAAAGCAATGAATTACCCATTTCGCTTTCTCCCGCTTGGTGACAAAGAGCCAGTACTCACCCGTGCAGAACAGCACAGTTCATTTATTGAGTCCCTTTAGTGCTGCCACAGTTCTTCTCCAATAGGAGAAAAATCTGCCAGTTGTCAGAGTCCTGCTGAGAGAGGATGTTCTCTTTCTGTTATTTGGGAGCACTCTGCATTACTTTTAAGTAGCTCTCGATAATGGGATTTGGAGGGAATTTCAGGGACTTGTTGTCTTTAGAGTAGCATTGTAGGGGGAACAGAAAGACCTTTGCAAAAGATCTTAGTGTCTTATGTCTTTATGTGATAAAAGATTTTTTGGTAATAATCTAAAAAGGGCATCATCATATTTTGTCTTTCAAGACTGCTACTGAAGACATGGAGACCAGTGAAGCTACTGAAATAATAGAGGGAACAAGAGACGAGGTAAAGCAGCCAAATAAACTACTATTTTGGGCACTTGCCTTAGCTGAAATGAATCACTTTCAGTGTCTGAAAGTCAGGCTAAATAAACCCAGCTTCAAATAATTAATTTACCTACTTCTGTAGTTTTGCAGACCTGTCTGCATGAAAACATAACACTGGTCATATTGGGTTTGCCCCAGCTCTGTGAACCCCAGATCCTCTCAGCGATGGTCGCTAGTGACTTCAGACGTGAGAGCACAGCTGCTGGCTGAGCAGAATTGTACCATAACACTTCAGCCGGGGGGAAATGATCCTCTTAAGGCATTCCTGAATGCTAGAAGTAATGGTTGCTGCAAAGCCAGAGCCTGGCCGGGGTCCTGGATTGTGTTCTGTCAGTTTAAAGGCCGGGGCACGCATCATTACGATTTTTTTTTCTATAAACAGTAGTTTGACTTTCTGTAGGAAGCACCCTGCTGGCAAAACGTCTGCAGCAACATGGGGTGTGACATGTTCTAGGAGTCTGCTGTTCTCGGGGTGATGAGCACTTCGGTGAACAGCTGGAGGAAACTGGAATTAAATGCCGCTTGTTGTACTGCCCTGCTGGTCATCAGGCCCCCCTTTCTGGTGACGATAATCGCCTGTGCTTCTAACAGAGTACGATACAGCAAGAAATACCGTGGCCTCTCTTCTCTTAACGTAGGTCGACAGCCACATTATGAAGGTTGTGCAGCAAATAGTGAACCAAGCCAACTCTGGTCACCAGATCATCGTACAGAACGTCACCGTGGCAGAAAACTCCGAAGTAGCCACCGATGCTGCAGACACCATCACCATCGCGACCCCCGAAAGCCTGACGGAGCAGGTGGCCATGACGCTGGCTTCCGCCATCGGGGAGGGCGCCGTGCTGACTGCGGAGGGTGGCATCGAGGCGGAAGAAGCAACGGTGACGATGGTGGCATCCGAGGACATTGAAATCATGGAACACGCAGGGGAGTTTGTGATCGCCTCCGAGGAGGGGGAGGTGGAAGTCCAGACTGTCATTGTGTAACAAACAGCATGCAGCTAGTGGCAGGTGTTAATGTAAAACTTGGTGTTTTTCTCCAGTTTGGGGAATCTGATCAGTCCTAAGTTTGCCATTATAATCGTTCAGAGAGCAAGGGAGAGAATGCTTCTGTAGGTAAGTGGCTTAACAGGGTGGTACAGCCCCGAGATGTTTTCTATTTAAAATGGAAATAACAGTAATTAAAAACCTCTGCATGGTTATACTGTGGAAGTGACCAATATGCCATATTTGACAGTTTCAGTATTTTGTACAGCTGCCTCAAATAAAGGAAGATCTGTTGTGAAGCATTTACCTCTGACCACAGGACAGCAGTGTTCTGGCCTTTGAAAGGATGCAGAAAGCGAAGCAAATACGTAGGGTCTCATAAGAGATTACTTAATCATATGCATTTAAAACAAACCAAGAAAACCAAACCTAAGGAGTTCTGGTGTGCATACACCACCACTCAAAATCTTTCATGCCTTTAACCTCACTACTTTAGTCCTCCTAAGGCATGGTACTGCAGTATCTTATTTTATTTTATTTTATATCCTGGACAAGTAGCCTTATGCATCATTGTACCCTTGCAATGCCAGCCAGGCTACTCTACGAGCTAGTCTGTTGGTGTGTAAAGCCATACTGTATATGACTTTTTTTTTTTTTTTAAACCATATATGGATTTTTAATTGCATATTGTACAGATTTGGCATGTAAATAAATACGTTTTTAAAAATAAAGTTATTTAAAGTTCTTAACCATATTTTTCCAATTTCTGCTCTATTATCACTGAAACAGAAGAATTTCTGGAGAGAGAACAGGGCCACGTAACATTGCGCTTAAGAAACCCTCGCTATTGGGCGAGTCAAACATAGTTTCTCCCAAAAGAAGCACCAGCCTCCACAAGCAGCCAGTCTGTCTGCTTTGGAGATCTTTCATGTGGTCCCTAGTTGGAGGGATTTCAGAAGGCCACTTGCATAGCTCTAAGTTTATTTTTTGTTTTCCGCTGTTAAGGCAGAGGGTTTTTCTTGAGAGACACTGATGACTGGCGTTCCCCTAGAGAATCCCAGTACAGCAGTAGAGGACTCTGTCTCCACTGTGCTCTGGAAGTGGCCTGTTCACTGATGGCAGGTGGGCAGCCCCCAAAACAGCCTCAGCAGCTGCAACCTCCCCTGCTGCAAATTGCCCAAAATACCACAAAATTCCTAAGAGAAGGTTGAGCCTCTTGCTGTAAACATATATCCAGCAATGGAATAAAGATGAGAAATGCCAGAAGGCTTAAGCCTATAATCCGCCAGGACCTGTATGGCCAGAGCTCAGTATCAAATTCCTGATGTGCTTCTCAGGATGCTGAAATTCTGCCCAAAGTCCGTCATTTTCATGACTCTTAAGGCTGAAATGGCATCTTATTTTGAACAAGCTGAAAATAGGTATCAAGAAAGAGATTTAGCAGGTAAGGAGAAGTAGCACTTGTAGCAGTTTCCTTCCTGAAATTAAGGTGTTCCACACCAGTACAAATTTGCAGTAGAACATGGTTTCTGCAGGGTGAGATTCTGATAGTAATCATGGTTTTTTTTCAGCTAAATACATGCAACCTCTCCTACATATTGTTAACAGTAATGGGTTAATCATTTGCCAAGATACTCACAAAACGATGAGGCTTCCTCAAAGCAGCTCTGTTAGCTATTCCCTTGCAAGTGCACACACAGAGAAAAAGATTCACTTCAGTAAGATGGACCAAACTTGTCTCTCCACACCAGCAAATCCACTACTGGTCCCTCTAATAAGAAAACAAGAGGACTGAGCTTAACCTCAGAGATCTCACCAAGTGAAGTGGCTTAGGGCTCTGCTGAGGCATTGTTAATCAGAATACTGCAGTCAGCTGTGAGTTACTATTGTCCCGCAGGGAAAAAAAAAAAAAAAAAAAAGAGTAATTGCCAAGTGCCTCTTCCACATGTGTGACACTGCTATATTCCTGTGATGCCACCTACAGGGAGGCCTACTTAAGCTGTACCAAAGTAACTTAGGAAGTCGGTGTGCCTATTATAGTGGCATATATTATGCAACATACAAAACAGGAACCATCAAAAAAAAAAAAACCCAAACAAAACAAACCCAAAAGTTCCTTGTGTATGTATTCCTTGGATCCAGCTTGCTTCTGTACTGTGATTGTGTCTCAGAAGACTAACAGGCCCCTGTCACAGCTGGTACGAGTAGTGTTACAGGTAAACTTGGAAGAACTGTAGTTGTTTGAAGACTGGTTGGCTTTATGAAAACTTAGTTTTCAAATACTTAATTGAAATACAATAATCTTTTTACAAAAGTTGTTTGGGGCATCCGAGCACACTGCTGAAATAAAGTCTTACAAAAAGTTTAGAAACGCACATATAAAGAACAGTATCTTCATGTTGTCTTCTTTCTTTCCAGCACTGTAAGAGGCTTAAAGATTTCCTTTAAATTCATCCAGACTCCTTTAGAATAAATGTTTTTGTAGACAACTCGTCTGTTGTGAGGCTGCAATGCTAGATGGTGGGAACACCCATATCTTCTGGATTTATACCATTCATTGGATGTTTGGTTGGTTAAGGCCAAATACAGGTTGAAACAGCAGTATGCACCCAGTACGAGCGTGAGAAGAACAACAAAACCAAGCATGAAGACAATCCTAGGAAAAGTCAAGAAAAGGTGCTGCAAAGAAAGAAAATAATAACTTAGTTAAAAAGTTGGAGCATTAATTTACACGGAGGCAAGTGACCACTGCAACAGGCTGGGCTGAAATGCACATCCATACGCACCCGTAACTGCAGCCCCAGAGGGAAGGTCACTGCCCTGTCCCCCACCCAGCTCAGGGATGGTCCGATCCCAACCGCACCTCTGAGCATGCAGATTTCCAGAAATGTATTTCCTCACAAGCCCTGCTAATATGCAGGAATATTTTCTACATCCATCTATCTCTGAATGTTTGTGTTTCATATTGGAGATTTGCTTGTTTGGTTTTTGTTGATTTTTTTTAATTGAAAAAATCATGAATGCAGGTAATCTGAAAAAAAAACTTGTCAAATGAAGAGGCTGCGATGTGGTACAACTTCAGGTTTTGTTGACATGATACAGTTTAAGTGGTTCTTTTCTGAGTTGAATTCCAATACTGGGGAGTAGTAGCGTAGCCCGTACAAATGTTTCTCATTGAACACAAAGACCACTAATCACTGGCTCTATTGTGTAAGCCTGATATGATGTAGGCCTTGCTATGCTATTGAAGAGGAGATGAGAGATTGATAAGAGGTAACCATCCTGCCCCAGAAGGTGCCAGTGGCTGGATGATTGCCCAAGAAGCATGAAGTCAAAAAAAAAAAATAAAAAAAAAAAAAGTCTGTGGTAACAGTGGGAACTTGCCCGCCCACACCTGTAGGAAGCACGTGTGCTAATTTACACAGCAAGAGAGGCTAATTCAAATATAACTAACTAACCAACAGCAGATGGAAGGATAATTACAGACCAGTGAGTATAAACTTATCTAAGTTTTTACTAATCATGTAACAAGATAAATAGGCTGTAGTTCCTTTGTGTGGTGTGCTAGCTTTGTGGGATTGCCACCTAGCACCCATCTTTGCACAACTATGGAACAAACTGCTATCTCGGCTCTGTGTGTGAGACTGGCTTTTGCACACCGGGTAACAAACCCTGTTTGAAGGACAACAGTAATGACACTGCTCTAAAATGAGCAAACATTCCCTGACCAAGATCCCTTTATAAGAGTCCAAGTCTGAAACATCTGTTGTCTAGGATGAGGAAAAGATAAAGCATCTACTGCTTATTACCTCACTGTCACACTATAGAAAGAGATGAGGGAATTGAAATGCAAATGACTCAATCCTAGAGAGATTCAAAGTCACCCTTTGCTTGTATGTGAGAGAAAATATTCCAATATCTAAATTCCAGGGTAGTACTATCTACTTTAAAATCTCCATGAAGACATCTCAAGGATTGTCAACTACAGGAGACGGTCATTGGAATGTAAAGTCATTCTTTATGAACCAGATCTGCTCAGTGAAAGCAGCCTGGAGACAGGAATCTGAAGAATGGGAGAGTGGAATGAAGTGCTGTGAGAAACATCTCATATTTTTTAAGTATTCTGCAATGGCAGTTTTCTAAACCTAATTAGCTGTGTAAAGTTGGTAAAAAAGTTGCAATCTGCCCACATCCTGCCTGTGAGAATAGGTGGGTTTACAAGATTCCCGAAAGCAAAGACTGAGATAAACCTTTTTATAAGCTCGTAACCCAGCATAAATTTACCTGAATGAGGAAGAGAATCTCAACAGCATGCTCCTGCCCTTGGTCATCAATGTAACTCCCACGCATCATGTTTGAGAGCAGCACCACCTGGATGAGAAATGCTGCTGTGATGCTTGCAATGGTTGCAGCCATGGCAGTCAGGGTGAAGAGGTAAAGGAAGAAATACTTTGCGTTGAAGGCACCAATGCAGCTGTTGACCCACACACAGTGGTGATCAAAACGATGCACACACACACTGCAGAAACCTGGTGAGGAGTGAGTGACAAGACAGTTCAGTTATTTGGTTTTTAAATAATCGAATTTGATTTTTACACAGTTTCTCATCTGAAAAAAATCTGAAAACTACAGTCACGATTTAGCTAATAGCTTTTTAAGCAAATACATTAATTTCATTTGCATATCATAAAAACCCCAATACTAAAAACCAAAGACATGTGTCTCGTTTCCTCTTTTATTCACCAAGACTGCAGCTTGAAGACTTTGGTTTCTCTGACAGTACTGCCTAGCAATGCATGTGAAAGGCAGAAATTGTAGCTCCCAGCTTTATTTTAGATTATAACAGCAAATTCTGCAAGAGAAACACAAAAACCTTAACTCAGGTCTTCACAAGTGATAGTTTTTCATTTAACTTCTAGATGCTCAAAAGCTTGCCTGTTTCTGACCCCAAATAATACCCTCGGAACTGGTAATTTCTGTGAGAACAAATAGCAGCAAAGCAGCTCCGTGGATGGGCAAAGGGCAGCTGTGACCTGGGACCCCAGTCCTGTGTGCATGGAGCTGGGTAACAGAACAGACGTAATGTGAACTGCAGTTACTGGTGGAAAATTAATTTGGGAAAGTATTATTATTATGCTAATCAAGGGAGTTAAGATTCTTACTGCAATGTTTTGATCTGGCTGGCTTCTCCATGTTGCATGTAGGACACATGATACCCTCCTGAAATAATACACCGTCATATGCATAAATCTTAACCAGTGATGCATGATTTGATTTTGTTATTATACCTGCGAAAGAAACAAGAAAAACAGTAAAAGTAATGGTGTTTGTAACATGTTTTAGGTTCCATTTTCAAACAGCAACTGCTCACGGTCAGCATGAGCTTACCAGGATTGGCCCGGGAGCAGAGAATGAAGCACCCCGCGTTCCCAGCCAGCAGCAGGTAGGGCAGCAGCAGGAGGAGGAGGTGGAACTGCAGCTCCCAGCAGTAAACAAACACTTCCCATGTGTACTCCCCATACACTGCAGCTTCCAAGGCTATGTGCAGGGCAACAAACAAACAGCTTCTGTAACAGAAAGGGGACAGTCTATTTAATACTCAGCATCCTGATTAACAGGTCAAGTACACTCAGAGGTGATCAGCAAAGACTTTCCAAATGCAAGGAGACACTTTTAGGTTTTCAGGCCAGTATGGATTGAATATTAATAGTGTTTTCTCCATCCAGTGGCTTCTCCTGCTCTTCTTCTCACATAAGCTTCTTTAAATATGACAGCCGAATTCACTTCTATTACTGTCATGTCCTTTGGATTTTCTTCCCATCAGTGGAGTCAAGTACAAAGCACCCTTGGTGCTGCCAAAATATGCCACGGCAATAGGCCACAAAACATTCTGCCAGAAGACATCTGCTGTGTGCTGCTCAGAAAGCAAAGAAAACCCCAGCAAAAGGTAACCTTAAAAAACCTGTAATAATATAAGCAGCTGTTACAAAATCAGCATGGCAGGAGGTTAGCAATGGCAAACCCTCACTCCAATCTGCGCGGCAAGTTAGATGCTCAACTGTTTGGTGTGCAGGTTGGTTTGGGATGCATCACCCTGAGCAACAGCTTCCAGTAGCCTGGCAAATGGCTGCTCAGATCAGCCATGCATTAGGAGAGCAATGTTCACTTACTACAGTTCTCTGCATTACACATCAGTTTGCTGGACTTTTATTACGAGTTTTGAATAACTAGTGATGTGTATGTTACTACAGCGGGAAGTCCATTGCAGACAGCCTCTCCTCTACTGCTCTCTCCTGCACCATTTCTGTGTGCAACCCAGCAGGATCCTGCAGAGTCTTCTCTCCACTGCAAGGCTACAAGAATATACCCTCAAGTGCTGCAGCTCATCGGACTTCTGCATGAACTGAAAAATCTCCTGCTCGAACGTGGTGCTGCAGTCGAAGGGTGCGCGTGGAGGATCAAAGTGCCTCCAGTGCACAGCATAATCTAGCAGTGACAACTACACCAGGCTCATCAGATAACTGCTCTGCTGCCAACCGCCCCTATGACAGTGTAACCACTCTCCTGGGCTGTGTTAACAGCAGAGAATCCACACAGCAGGCAACAGCACAACTGCAGCACACATTCAACAGCTGTAGATGTTACGCCCCTGAAGTGTCTGTCATACAGGAGCTGCTGTCCCCAGAGGAAAAGCATATAATTCATTCCTGAAGCAGATCCTAAAGCACCAAAATTTACAGGAAACTACAAAATTCATTTTAATACAGCAGGCTGCACATTGGCAGCTGTGCAGCTTCTCCTTGAGGCACCTGGACATCCAAGCTGCTGGACTAAGACTAACGGGATTTGAAGGAGAGGATGGGGATCGCTAGCTCTGTCTAAACTCACTCTGCAGCTGCCAGGGAGCCTGTTGTAACTCTCGTGTGGATGCAGCCACCCACTGGGGTGATCAACATCTGTTACACTGGAAGCTACTGAGCCACATTATTTGTCAATATGTTCAAATATTTCAGGGTACCATCTTCTAAACAATAATCAAGGAAGGGAAAGACAACAGTGTGGCAAACCTTAAAGGGAATCTGTAATCCCTGACAAGCACCTTCTATGAAAAGAGAATATCTAAGGATAATACTGAAAGCTCTGATGGTAGCAGGAGGTCACCAACAGTGACTAGAAATATTAGTAAAAAATAATGTCAAAAGCATAAAAAGAAAGTTCAATACCTTGTGTGGAAGAGCCTGTGAATCGCCCTCTGTGACACTCTCTGGAGCTGTGTGGGGATTACAAATGACAATACCTGAAGCAAATGAAAATACCATGTTATCTGAATTGCACATTGCTTCTGCCTCGTGGAAAGCTCAAACAAGTCACTTAATCCCTCAGTTGTACATCTGTAGCCATATCCCCGGGGAGGAGGCTCATTTTCAGGGGCATCTGAGTTCCTAAGAATATAAGCGGGCATCTTGCTGGGGTTTTCAAAATGGGAGTGAGGTTCCATATTCTTGGGAGCTGAACAGGCACAAACAAATGTATCTGGGTTAATGTGTGAAAGTTATAAGGAGCTTATATCGGGTTATAGACTGGGTAACTGGTTGAGCTGGGGATAGAACTGAGCAATTTCTGAACTACATCAGGACATCTGACAGATGCAAGTAGAGATAAGCAAAGGGATAAAGCCCGCTATCCTCTGGAAAAAGAAAAGCCCACAACCCAAACAAAAATACCTCATCAAAAGCAAAAAAATCCACAGTTTCTTCAACTACAGCTATGATCCAGTCTGATAATTCCATGTCTATCTAATTTCTGTTTTAAAAATGGCTAGACACAATGAAGAAGAAAACTGCCTGTCTTTATTCAGTGAAATCCTCAGCAATAGTCTGTGACTGCGGAATTGTTTGCTGTTCAGAAGATGACAGATCTCTATAGCAACACTCTGCTCCATCAGCAGTGGAAGAATTAGAGCAGCTGAGCCTATTTCTAGTTGACATGGAAAGAAAATATGCAGTGAGAGCTTCTTGTCTCAGATGTGAAAGACCAGAAGGCAAAAAGCATATGTAGAGTTGAGAAGATGTTAAATATTTTTCTTTTAACTGGTATGCCTCGTATCAGCAGTTCAAGTGACAAGTCTTTTTAAAAAGAGACTGTGTACTGCAATAGGAAACACACAACTAGACGGAAAAGCGACCTGCATGCAATTACAAAATTAAAATTTAAATTAACTGTATGTGTGTTAGTACAGTCTGTTACAGTCAATATCCATTACTCCCCCACATACAGTACAGCAATCTCCTGTATTTCAGCCATTCCTTGCGCCAAAGCAGAAGGCTCCCACAATATGATTTTTCCTTGCAGTGATGACAAAGCAGGAGACAATGAGAAGACCTGTACAATGAACACAACCACCTCGTACAACTGAACTGCTGGAAGGAAGGAAGGAAAACAGGCCGGGGGTGGAAGCTGACTTGCCACTGTGCTGGAAACAGCTGTGCTCTGTGCACCTTCGTTATTTCATATTGCTTACAAAAAACACGCTAAAAGATCTTACAGGAGTGCAGTCAAACAATTTCAACAAACTTCCAGGCTTATGCACTTCATTCCAGGCTTATGCACTTCAATAATTAGTCAGAAATGATTTAAAAATACCGTGTCTAGAGAAACTATTTAGGATTACCTATATTTATTTCATGCATACAAGTATTGATTACAGTTCTCCAGACAGTGACTTTACATCACAGCAGTATTTTAATTTCTGATTGTTACATGTTTCATAAAAGCAGCTATTAAGAAATGTGGGAAAATAATAAATTTGTCTGCACAGTGCTTTGTCTGTCTGTAAAGCAGACTAAAATATAATACTAGTAATAAAAATCAAAGTTGGTTTGGGCTCATGTACTAAATATTATTTAAAATGTAAATGATAATTCTCTTACCCTTTCCCTTCCAAGAACGCTACACCTTTTTTCTACCCCTTCATTTGGACACAGACCAATAGACAGAAGAATAAGCTAGTACCTTTTCAATTAGTTCCTGATTTTTACAATAAAATGCCAATTCTTAATCCCCTTGTACAGCTCTTCATTTCTCCCTCTTTCTTAGGAAACCCCAGCCTGCAGAATTATTAGTCTCACATTAAAGAGCTTCCCCTAAAATATGTGCCACCAGTTATAATTCTCTCCTTATTTTAATTCTCAAACCTCCCCGCACCTTTTTTCTCTTAATGTGAGCGGCAAATACCATAAAATTGCAAATACTTGGGGCCTCATTATTATTTAATTTCTCAAGGCTGACATGTTACGCTGTCACTGAACAATGTACTTTTAGCACTGCGAGAAGTTCCATCCTTACTGCTACCCCGTGGTGACTGCGGCCGGCCAGACTGGCACACGCAGAACAGGAGCTGAGACACAAACAGCTTTTTACTACCTGCTTGGGCAGGATTTCATCAGCCAAAAGGAAGCGTGTTTCTATTTCCAATCCCAATTAGCACTTATTGGGAGCAGCTGTCCAAACAGGATGAAATATGAAACATATCACCACTTTTAATGATACTAGCATGTTTTATGGAGGAAGAACAACATTAATTTTAGCATGACAAACTAGGGCAGATCACCAGAACGGGTGACGATCATCACTCTGAAAGCACACTTTACCTGGCTTGCACTGCTGACACTCCTTGAGAGGAAACCCACCTTCCTTCTTGAGCAGATGCAGAGCAGAGCAACAGTAGTGAGGACAAACCACAAGTAAATCAAGAGAAGTGTCAGAAAGTCCATCCCGAGACCTGCGACGGAACAGCAGCAGCTGATGAGCGCTCCCTGCAGCAGTGCCCTGGCCTGGCCGTGCTTCGTGCCGTTTAGTGCCTAAAAACGCGGGAATGAAGCAGCTCGAAGCCCAACCAGAGCACCCCAACACGGCCCCCGCCACAGCACTGGGTTTATTTTCATGTTTTAATGTGTTTCTGGGCGTTCTGGCACCCTGCAACTGGGCAATTGCTTGACAGGGGATGGAAGAACCGGGCGTCTGCCGAGCCTCGGGGCCTGCCTGCCTGTAGCGGGGACAACCCCGGGCACTACACCGGCACCGGTATCAGCACCGGTACCGACACCGGTATCAGCACCGGTACCGACACCGAGGGCCGGCCCGGGGAGGCCGCGGTGCCGGGCCAGGAGCCTGCGGCCTCCGAGCCCCCGGGCAGCAGGAGCCTGAGGCCGCCCTGAGGGCCACAACCGGGGGCTGTGGGGGGTGGAGGGCGACGGTCCCAACCCCGAGGGACACCGGGCGGGCACAGCGGCCCCGGGGGACGGGGGGTAGGGGGGGGGGGGGAGAACGGGGCCCGCTCAGCCCGCACCGACAGGCCCCACCCCGGCAAGGGGCACGCTCACCGGCGGGCCTCCCCCGAGCCCGGCTAATCGATGGCCGAGCCCCGCCCGGCCGCTCGGGGATCGGCGGCGGGGCCTGGCGTAACCCGGAAGCGGGCGGCGCGGCGGGAAAGGCGGCAGGTTACCGGTGATCGGTTACCGGTGATCGGTAATCGGTTACCGGTGATCAGTAATCGGTTACCGGTCATCGGTAAGGGCCGGCGGCCGACCCCGGCGAGCGGCACAGCACCCCGCCTCCATTCAAGGACGGTGCCTCTCTGACACCTGTGAACTGAGATTATTAGGAAATAAGATATTTGTGGAATAGAATTATTAAGATCAATTTAAATTGTTCATTTAACCATTGTGCTGCAGAACAATCTTTTGAGGAGTGGTTGGAATAACCATAGGGTAAGGAACTCATAAATAATCTGACCTGAGACGGTTTGGCCTTGTAGGAGCCGGTGCAAAGAAACACAAAGATAAGGAAGCTGCAAATTAGCAAGAAAACCAGAGTGGGCAGCCTGGAAGGACAAGAACTACGTGGGCACAGGGCTGGGTTTGTGCAGAAATAAGGGTCAGCTGGTGGACACAGGGAAGAAGACTACAAGCCTTCATCTGAAGACCCTCTACGACCACCTGCAACCTGCAAGAGACGTTAACATATGCTAATGGTTCCCAGAAGCGTTATGAAGATGGTAAAAATAGGATAAAAATGTAATTAATATGTATGATTAAGGTAGTATAAATGCTTGTTGGTTTTGTTTCCAGACACACACATGAGGAGGAGCTCTCCCCTGTGTGTCCGGCGCTGCAATAAAGAATGCCTGCCTTCTAAAACTCCAAAATTGAGTCTTTGAGAGTGAATTAATTACCGCTTCCCGATAGCATCTCCAGCCGGCTGCCGGCACCCGCCCGGGCCCTGCGGCTGGGCAGCGCGCCGGGAAACGAAGCGTCTCCAAACCGAGCGAGAAATGGGCTGTCACCTCCCGGAGGAGCTGAGGCTCGGGGGCAGAGCCGTTTGCTGCGGCCTCCTTCCTTCCTCCGCGGCAGAAAGCGAAGATTAAAGCTGGAGAAATAAAAGTGAAATTATTTTTATAAATCCCAGAGTTGTGTGTGGAGTTCTTATCATCCCAGGCAGCTCGTTACCGTACGAGTTGAGCGCGGTTGTCGCGCGGTTTCCTGCTGTTTCCCGAGGGTCTGTGTAGCGCTGCCGCCTGGCAGGGCGCATCTTCCATCATTTCCTGAGAACCTGCAAAACTTCTGCAGGTTTGTTGCCCTTGGTGAGATCTCTAAAGCAAAATCCTCTTGTTTTCTAGAGGAGCTCTGAGCGTTCCGTTCCCTTTAGACAGGGATCCTCCTCACCCCGGGTGCCGGAGGGAGTCGGGGTGAGTTTACTCTGGGATCTCCTCCAGAACCGGGCTGAGATGGGCTAACGCCGCCGGGGATAAAAGTCTTGTGCTGGTTCCTTTCGCGGCGGCTGTCAACTGAAACCGTCCCGGCGGCCGGCACGGTCCGTGCTCTCCAGCACGCCGCTAATGAGCGGCTGATTGGGTTACGGTGCCGGGGTAGAATTTGCCATAGAAACTCGGGCGGTTGCTGCCGCCGGGTAACCGATCCAAAAGCTTCGAAGCTGCTGTGATGATTTTGCCAGCTCTGGGTCCCGGTCTGCCGCTGGCTGGATCTCAGGCACGACAGGTAAGCCCTGCGAGGGGTGCTCGGGCTGCTTTGGCACCCAGAGGAAATTAATTGACTTGGTCGAGACGCAGCGGCAGGAGATGAGGTTGAGTTTCAGGAAGGGGACCTTGTTTTCCCTGGTAAGTTCTTGGCTCTCGACGCACCAAACCAGAACCTGAGAGAGAGAAATGCAGCCAAAATACTGCTGGGGCACAGCTAGCCAAGAGTGGAGCCTGAGGCACTTTGCCCCTGGGAGATGACATTGTGAAAAAGCCATTTTTTTTTTCCCTTCCTACTGATGCGGCAAAATTTCTGTACTGCTCCAGGTAGAGCTGTGGGTTTGTTTGGGACACTGGACGTAACCCGGCAAGTTTGGCGGCGTAGAAGGGGCCCGGGGGTGGGGGGCTGGTGGTGGCTTGGGCAGAAGGCAGGTTTGCAGCAAGGGCTGCAGAGCAGGGCACCGGCACCGCCGAGGAATCCATCCGCTTTTAGTGGCTTTACAGGCTGCGCTCAGGGGCAAAACAGCCAGCAAATACCTCAACAGCGGGTTGAGACTGAGAGACATGAAGCTCATTCAATCCAAGTGCTGTGAAAAACAGTTAAAAAGTCTTGTCTGATCAAAGTCTAGCAGAAGTTCCTCGAGGAAACAATCTTTTCATTAGCTCAGAATCCCATAACTAAGTTCTTGCAAGGATTAGAATTCGCTGACAGTGTTTTAAGGTACTCAAGTCACTTAAAAATGGAGGGAAAAGAAGCAATCATTTCACTTGCTGGGGGAAAAAAAAAATAAAATATCCAGTGCAGTTTTACCTGTTTGTTTGGGCAGTGAATAGCCAAGAAGATGCTCTGACATTTTGTAGGAAGGCATGTGCGTTTCTCTGTCAACACGGGAGGGCAGTGCACGCTCCCCCCAACGCGCGCCCGTGGGGCTCAGCTGCCGAGGAGGAGATTTGTGTTTGTGCAGAACGTGCGGGAAAGGAGCCGTGTCCTGTCTCTGGCAGAGCATCAGCGACACCAGAGCTGGAGAGGGCAGGAGGAGGAGGAGGAAGGGGGCCTGCAGGTCCCTCGCAGCGGTGACATGTATGAACATGAGGGGCACGAAGCGGGAGGAAGACCCTGCACTGCAGCGTGCTCGCCTTCGGCTTGGGCAAAGCTCCGCAAGGCTTTGCCCGACCCCATCTCAAGCGTCCCAGGTTTCTGGGGGACGTTATTTCCCACCCAGCCCAACGCTGCTGACAGCTGGTGCCGAGGGAAGACGGGATTGCTGTGTGATCCGTGACGGGATGCAGACAGCCCCTCCCGACCGTGCTGTGGCAGGATGTGTAATACCCTAAAACCTCTTAGCGTGCTAAGCCGCGGGATCCCTAAGCGCTGAGGAAGCGCAGGAGAAAATCAGAAATAGCAGCTTAACAAACACTCGGTGCTGTTTGTGGGTCCAGACTCCCAACTCCCCGCACCGAACCGGGTGTTGTTTGGCAGACGTGCACTCCCGAACCCGCTGGTGTCCCACTCAAATCGCCGGCGAGGTCTCGGCGTGCCCGGCTGCTGTTTGGGAGCAGTGACGGCGTTGCTGCCTCTCGGCTGCTCTGCAAAACGCTGTTGCTTTGGGTTTTCCCTGTGGATAAGGGATTTCCTCCCGTGGGCGCTGATCTGCTTTACCTCCTTCCAGCTCCTACTTCCCCCCAGATCTGCGGGTTCGGGTCAGCACCAGACTCAGCCAGCACCGGCACAGCAATTAGTCCATCCATCCATACTTCTCTTTGTGATGGAAATAAAGTTGATTAGGAAAGGAAAAGGCAAGAAATAACTTTCTGCATGACTGGCACTGACTCAGAGTGGCTGGAAGGGTGCAGGGCTTGAGTAAGAAGCCCAGGAAGGGGCAGCCACCCCCTGGCTCTGCCCCAGCGAGGGGGGCTGCAGCGAGGACGTGGGAGCCGGGGAGATTCCCCCAGGAGCCCAGCGGGTAGGTGGGATGCGCTTCCAGGGGTGATGGAGGTGAATCAGGAAAGCTTTGACCCCTTAGCGGGACAAACCTGCTGCCGGTGTCAGCCTGCCAGGCTCGCCTGGGTGCCTGCAGGCTTCTGTAAGTGCTCGAGCCGCAGGGTGCAGAGAGGAATGGCCCGCAGAAAGGCGATGGCCGAGCTTTGCCATGGAGCTCAGCCCAGAGCGGCAGCGCTGGGGCCGTCCCAGTGCTTACTGGGCTTCTTGCTGGAGCCTTCAAAGCCGGTGCTCCGCAGCCCCAGGGACGCCCTGGTGTGCAGTCACAGATGGATTTCACCCCACTGTTGCCAGACTTGACCTCAGGCTTCACCTTGACATTTGTACCTGTTAACAAGGGCAACAGCTTTTTTTCCTCTTTAAATAATAACAACAATCCCTGATTTTTATGTAGCATTTTAATCAGCACTGCTGTACAAAGGAGGACGAGATTATTACACTTCTAATGTTAGTGACAGCATATTGCTTGGTCCTTTTTAATACTTCCTTATGAAAGCGGCACTTCTAGTGCCCTCTGTAATATGGCCTTGAGTAGCTGTTTGCAAGAGCAGAGCAGGCTCAGGTTATTAATACAGATTTCTGCAGTAATGCTGTGTTCCCTGCCCATCCTCACGATTCTGCTCTCAGAGCAATCTGGTCCCTATTATCTCTGCTGAAAATGAACATGAGGAGAGTTCCTTTCATCTCTCTGGCCTATAATAGGGTATTAAACACTGTTTTCAGTGCTACTGAATTTTGACCAAGATTTCCCAGGTGTCAAAGGAGCAGGAGAAATGTCTTTTGGTCATTCAGATCAGAGCCTGGAGAGGCAAGCCACCCCAACAGCGGCGAGGCGGAGGTGTGAAGCGATGCGCTTTGTTGGGCTGGCAGGAGCACAGGCTGGAGCAAACTGGGACCCTCTGGGCTGCTCAGGCTCGGGGGGATGCACCAAGAGCCAGCTTCAGGCTGCTGCTGGGCTCTGTGCCTGTGCTTGAGACTTTCTGATCCAAAGAGCACAAAACTCAATGTGTGTTCATGAGGAAGTTTTCTTGAGCAATTCCGAGTCCTCGTAGTGTCTGTAAGTTAGTTTGCCCAGGTAAAATAGTCTGCATTTCGTTTTGGTAAATGCTTAACTGTGTGTTAAGTAACACAGATGGAATAAACGTGGGAATAAAAAGCATCTTCACAGGCAACTAAGATCAAATGAAGAGAAAATCCACACGTGAATTACTTTAGCAAGTGTCAGGGGACAATTCAGGCTCTTACACATCAGCGGTGTCAAAAGGGCATCCAAGCGAGTCGCGTAGATCAGCTGGTTCAATTTACCTTGGGCAAAGACTGACTTCTGCAGATGTTTAGGGCTGATGTGCCCTATTTCTCCTTGAGCAGCCACAGAGCCGGTCCTAACCCTTCAAATGAATCACAAACAAGTCCTTCTGAAAATCCTCATCACTGTATTTCAGGGTGCTGTGATCAGGTTAATACACAGGACAGGGGGGGCACAAAGAAGTACTCCTGGGAGAGCTGAGTGGACCTGGCAAATTCTAAGGAATTTGCAGTAATTTTGCAGTTGCAACCTGCTAAAATATTGAGTATTGAGAAGACCTGGTTAAAATAAGGCTGTCTTAAGTCGTTGGGTGATCTAGTCAATAACGTGGCATGCCTGGAAAATGAAAGAATAATTTTGCTAGACCAATAAATACAAGTAGGGGTCTAAACGCACCTCCCGGGGAGAGGGGGGTCAGGTAGGTGCCACTGATGGGCGAGACACGGGCTGTGCGAGGCCACGGTCAAGGTGCCAGGTACAGCCCTGACCTCTCCAGCCAGCGCAGCTTCCTCACTGCTAACTGGCGCTGCCAGAAGCCAGATAATAGAATAAAAGCTATTTTGTTAGGGAAACGTGGAGGAAAAACGTCCCTCTCGGGGCCTTTCTTCCCATGGCGGGGGGTTGCAGCACAACGGGATCCACGCGGCGCCTGCAAGGTGAAGGATGGCGTCACCCAGCGCTTTTTTTCCCCCCCCCCCTCCTTCTTTTTCCAGTTGCAGCCATGCCGGCAACCAACCAGGGCTGGCCCGAGGCCTTCGGGTTCAAGATAAGCGGGACCGGTCCGTGCTACATCCTCTGGGTGCAGGAGGGCAGCAGCGCGGCGACGGCGGGGCTGCGGCCGGGCGACGAGGTGCTGGAGATCGAGGGGCAGCCCGTCTCCTCCCTGGGCTGCGAGGCGCTGCTCGGGCTGGCCAGGCGCTGCGGCAACGTGCCCCCCAGCATCGGGGTGGTGTCCCGCCTGCAGCACGCCGACATCCCCCCCGGTCCCTGGGGATGCTTCGGCTTCGAGCTGGCGGGCGGCAGCCCCCCGCGAGTGGCCAGCGTCAGCCCGGAGTCGCCCGCCGCCGCCTGCGGGCTCGAGCCGGGGGATTACGTGCTGGAAGTCAACGGGATGCCGGT